ACTTGTCAGACTATTCTTTGAGCATCTATGTCATGAAGCAAGAGGAGTCATAAAAGGTGTGTCATCTAGGCCACTAATCCTGCTTACATTACCTTTCGGAGCCAAGTTGTTATTCGGAATCACAAACTCCCTACACAGGATCCTGGGAACGTCTGCGATAGGAGAAGTGGGAATAGAGGGAGGCAGAGAGAGCTACATAGGGAAGGGGGAAAGAGGGTGGGGTGGGGTGGGTGGGAATTAAAGTTTTAGTGTTTTCTCTAAATACAGAGAAGCAGTGAGATTTCTGTGATTCCAATATCTTCAGAATCTTCAAACTTGACTTCTTTTTTCCCCTGCTTTCCTTTGAATGTCATTCCCCGGGCTGTACAGCCATGCCCATAATATTTGCTTTTCCTCTGAGTCAAGAAGGTGACACTAAGCAAAATAAGTGTTTAGCAGTGGATATAGGATTGAAGCAATGATAATCAAGGACCCTGGTAATTGAAGCTTCCGGGGATGGAAGAGAACCTTTCTTCTGGAATCGGCGGTCTCTTTAATAGGATAAAACCCGCTGCAGTGATTTGGTGTTTGAAGAGGCTATGATGTAATTGGAAGTGCCTCCTGGGTTCGCTTCTGGACAAAGCGCTCAGGTGGAGGCACGGGCAGCTCTGAAGTCCGAATCCCTGCTTCCGCCACCCTAATTAGCCGAAATTAGCTATGCCACTTTTCTGCTTGCTTTTGAATTTCCCTGCTAATGCTTCTTTCGAAATATGAAAGCCCACCAAGTCTCTCACGCGTAGACGAGTGCGTCCACTACTGCTGAAGGGTGGGTTTGCGTGTTAGCCGCTCACAAGAGTGAATGATGAGCAGGGATCCCGGTGGAGACTGGCGGGCACTGCCCTTTATTCCATGTGATGAATTTCCCACACATGACTGTGGCTCTCCCACCCCCACCCCCCGGGGTCACTCACCCTGACTATTTAAGTTGAGGTGAATGAGGCCAGTCTTCACAACAATGTTTCTTCTCCGATTGAATTTCAAAGGCCAGGAGGGTCAGAAGAGGCTTCACGCACGTGTGTGTGTGTTAAGGCGGGCTAGTCCCGCTTTATATCTGGTCACCTTAGTGTTGTGCCATTTTCAAATGTTCACTTCTAACCCCAATTCATTGAATCTCACTGTACCAACAGATTTACAGTACATTCAGCGTAGCTTTTGTGAATTAATTGAAATAGTCCTCAAGGAGACATAAATACATATCTCAATCCAAAAGTCAATTTTTCTTATGCCAATGACTAAGATAAATTACATTGGGCTATAAGCCAAGAAGAAACGGTAAGACTTAAGAGAGTCTTTCACTGGTCATTGTCTATAAACCCAACTAAAAGCCCACAGCCACATAGCTAAAATCAGACTCATAGCAACCCTACAGAACAGAGCAGGAGTGCCCCACAGGGTTCCCAGGCTGTAGCTCCTTTGCAGAAGCTGACTGCCACAGCTTTCTTCCATGGAGACGCTGGTGGATTTGAACCCCTGAACTTTGGGTGAGCAGATAAGCACTTAACCACTGTTGTCTCCAGGGCTCCTTTGTCTATATGCTCAGTACCATTGAGTCAATGCTGACTTATATCAGCCCTATAGAACAGGGTAGGACTGCCACTGTGAGTGTCTGAGGCTGTAGTACGTTATAGGAGTAGAAAGCCTCGTCTTTCGCAGAGCAGGTGGTAGTTTCAAACTGCTCACCGTGCAGTAACCATTATGCCATCACGGCTCCTTTATCTAAACACAGTCACCTGATAAAAGCTCAGGCCTCTCCTGCACATCCCTGTCATTGATCCCCATAGGTAGATTTTCAGTTGCTACCAAAGAGGTTTTCCAGGTAAAAATGCTGGTTTTCATTTTAAAAGAACAAACCCTGAACATGTAAGACTAGGTGTCCCAAGGGAGCATCAGACACCTCACACAAATTGCTCCCAACTGTGGATTTCATCTCGCTCATTTAATATCATGCCTCAGATGCACCTGCCAGGGGAAAGACTCTTTGGGGGGATAAGAAAAACCTCCTGGGCCATCTGTCTGTGGTTCTTTATAGAAAATGGCAGAGGGGAGCCAGAGTTTGGAAGACCTGGAAATAGATTATTTGGGGGCCTCTGTAGGCTAAAAATGCACAATGACAGCAACTTGCTAGGTCCCCTCCCAAGACCTTGGAAGGCACCATGCCAGTGAGGCCTTGAATCGCCCCCTCCATTAGCTGCAGGGCAAAACTTTCCTCTTTCCATGCTCAGAAGCACGCATTCCATTCCTTTACAGGAGAGTATGTGAACATTTATTAAAATATTCACCAGCTGCTCAGAGACACTGATCTCCTTTCAAACGAGTACCCTTATACCACAGATCCAATCACTCAAAAACAATTAGTGTCCTGGAACAACTGTGGACCAGACAAGAGATGATTTGGTTTGTGCTTGAAACATCAGCAAGCAGATCCTAAGAAACTGGGTGGCGCTCGGGCGGCAGGTGTGATCTGCAGTAGTGAACTTTGCAATTCGCCGTGGTGCAACTCGGCGCACGGTTCCGGGTAGTTGCTGTTGATGCCATTTCCGGGTTCCCTTCATCCAGAAAGCCTGGCCCCAGCAATTGGGGATGGGATTGTTGAAAGCTTTCAGTTGTGAAATTGTGTGTTTATAAGATGCCCAGAAGCCCTATGTTGAGTTAAGGTCCCATATTGTTCTGAATGAATCAGTAACGTTCAAGCTTCAGTGTAAGGGAGGGGGGTTGGTCTTGCCTCTCCACTTATCAACCCAACTGGATTCAGTCATTGGTTTTCTGGGACCAGGGCTGCTGGGACATTCTCTCCTCCCAAGAGCCCAGTGCGGTATATTCAGTCCTATCCTCCCTCTCTCCCTGCCAGAAAGGGAGAAAGATGAGGTTTCTCTACTCCCATAAGGACTTACAGTGCCACGGGCACAGTTCTGGCCTAAGGGAATAGCATACAGTTCTCCATCCAAGCTTTTATGAAATTACTCATTGATTCACTTTGGAATTCCAGTTTTAATGACTGAATTTAACCTTGTACTCATTATAGATTTTTTTTCTGAGGCATGTTCTCATTTAAATTATGCTTAAGTCTTAATTGTTAGAAAGTCCTAAGATCACGGTATCCATTGGTTCTAGGTGGCCGAACAAATTTTTCTGATGTCTGACACGATACGAACAATTGTGGACTTATTGATTCACGTACGTGCTGTTGTTCAAGCATTGTTCTTTCCCCCCAAACTCCCTGCCAGTAAGTAGATGCTGACTCGTAGTGACCCTGCCGGACAGGGTAGACCTTCCCCTGTGGGTTTCGGAGATTCTAACTCTTTATGGAAGGAGCAAGCCCTACCTTTCTCCCAGCCTTTGTCTGAGGACATGTAAATTAGCAATGATAATCCCATGTTCTGTGAGGACCCCACTGAGACACAGAAGACCACTCAACAGAACACCCTCGGCGTGACAGGGTTAGTGCTGGGTCCTGCAAATATAGACATCGATATACTAGAGGGGGTCCTGCCTTTATGGGCTTTACAGATTAGCATAAAAAGTGAATATAAAAATAAACAAGACCACTTCATAAAACATTGAGGACGATGAAAAAAAATCAGGAAGGAACCAATGTGGAGCAGCGCATAGGGCCGCAGTGGAGGAGTGCTGGCCAGGACACTAAGGGAGGAAAGGCTTTTAAGGAAGAGAGATGGTTTGTGCCTGGAACAGAGGTGAGCCATGAAGCTCGTAAGCGTACACTTCAGCCCTCTTCCCTGGTGTAAACAGTGTAGTTTATAAGTGCAATGTTTACCCTTTTCTTCAAGTTGTTGGTTGCTGAGTTACTTAATTGGGCCAGCCTGGCCGATAATCACATGTGGGGCTGGTTGAAAGGCGGAGGGATAAATGGGTGGTGAGCCTCGCCTTTCTAGTTCTCGGGTCTCTTGTTTTGTGATGGTTGCACCGGGTGCAGCTGCCTTAGCAGTTCCCTGCTTCAGCTTGCAAGATTGACTTCCTGCAAGACATCCCCAAGGAGAAGCCACATGGACCTATCCCGATGCAGCCGCCGTGTGGAGACTCCTGCTAGTGCTGAGGTGCTTATTCGTTCACTGACTCAGCTTTCCTCCTGCAGTCGGCATCATTGCCTCTGTTTTGTGAGGTGGAGGACTTTGCGGACTGGTGTTGGGTTAATGTTGGACTTGTGGGCTTGGGCAGCATTGGGTTGGGATGTTTTCGTGATGCATACTTTCTTTACATAAAACTCTCTTATACGTGAGTTGCTGTGGATTTGTTTCTCCAAAGTACCCGGGCTAATACAGTTGCCATCCACTCAGCTGACTCACGGCAACCCCAAGTCCACCAGAATACAACGTTGTCCAGTGCTGAGCCCTCTTCATGACCACGGCTCATGGGAGCCCATTGTTGCAATATTTTGCTCCATGAAGTTTTCATTGGCTAATTTTAGGGAACATTATACCAGGCCTGCCTTCCTAGTCTATTTTAGGCTGGAAGGACCAGGACTGAAATGGTATTTGAAATACCGGTCGTCTAGCTTCCAGCATCATGTCAGGGCGCAAGCCACCACCATATGACAAACTGGCAGGTGGGGGGTGGTTTTCTGGGGCCCTTAAATTATATAATTGTCAGACTCTGAAAAACTTGGATCTGCTCCTAGGGATCAACCCTATAAAATGAATCCTGAATGTTCGCATTATAGGGAAACAGACATAGTTGTGCATACAAAGGGGCTTCAAAAAGTTCTTGGAAGACAAAATGAAAAGATAGTGGGATTTTCCCAAGGACTTTCTGAGACGCTCTCCCACCCCACCCCCCATCACCACCATATGTTGTTGTTTGAGGAAATCTAACGTGCTTATTCCCCTGCAAATTGTTCCAGGCTCCTAACATCCATGCCCTGCGCGCCACCCCAGAGAAGATACAATGAAAATGCCCACGGTCCTCAGACTCACAAGCAAGTAGAGAACATGAAGGCCATGACATACCGTAACGTGTGCAGAAGCTGGAATCCCGCCAGACCAGGAAAACACAGACATTTTTCACTCGTCACGAACCAGATGCACCCTGTCAAAGGCAGAAAACTTATGAGACCTGGAACAAAACAAGGCCACGCTACCAAGTTCTTGTTCCCACAACTGCCTCTGTAGCACATTTGCCTCAACACCGCACTAGCTTGTAAATTCTGCAAAGGTGGTCCCACTGAAAATTACTGTACTTTAAAGCTACGGAGGACTTAAAAGGTCACTAAATGAAACTGTTCTTTTTATATCCACTGAAGTCAGACTCAGAGAAACTAGGAAACCTCCTGAGAATCAAGGAATTCATTCCTCAGACTCAGGACTAAAACCTGTCTATCTTATCTCATCATGCCACACTGCCTTTGTCCTTAGGCTCCTTCCTGGTCTTCTGCACCCTTTTCTGCTACATACACGTTCTAATGCAGTGTCCTGAATATGATGGGCATTTGATCAATGGGGACAGACTGTATCTGTTATTTGAACTTATAGTGACGACTCCAGAATTTCTAGCTAGGATGGCCTTTGGGATTGTTGTGTGTGTTTTCTTAGCAACTGCACTATCCTTACTTAGATAGAATGTTTATTTGGGGTGACTTGGCAGAGGCAGTTCTAAGGGAGAGTGGTAAATTTAAGACACCACCCTCATCCATTCCCCACCTTACTGTCAGCACTTGAAATACCAAAAAGTTTCTGGTGTATGCTTAACAGACCACTGCATGTTTCTAAACTTCAGTTTCCTCTTTAATAAAGCTGGAAAATAAAACTGTAACTGTCATAGGAATTAAACAAGGGACTAGACATTGCATTCTTACCATAGTGCTAAGTACATAGTAAGCACACACCCAACACCTACTGCTTGGTTCCAACTCACAGTGACACCACAGAGTCTCTGAGCCTGTGAATCTTTACAGAGGCAACAAGCCCTATCTTTCTCTGTCAAAGTGACTGGTAGGTACATCCTTATATTAATTTTTATTTTAATACTAATATTCTTTCCAGTGATGACAATAAATCTCTATGAATCTCGGTGTCTAATTAACTTCTCTAAAATCTAAGAAAACTGTAGAATGAAATACCATAGCAGCTAAACCTTACGAATAAACATTAACCATCACCCCACCACGACCACTATTTAAAAGCCACGGAGACCCATTTAAAATCACTTCCCTCCGGCTCAGGAGTCACTCAAAGAAGTGTTTTTGGAAATCACATTCCCTAGCACTTCTGGTATCAACAGCTCAGTGTTCCAGGCTGTGTTCAAGGTCGTAAGTAGACCTTAAAGGTGAAACATTGTAGGAAGGTGTGTGGACAAGAAGCAGGATCATTCTGAAGCTTTGAAAACGATTAAGGTTTTACAGCCACGATAAGGATGTGGAAGAGAATTGGCAGTTCTCGCTCCAGCATGGCCAAACTGGTTTATTTCTCATCGTGAGGACTCGCAGTGTGATGGCTGATCACTAATGCGAACATTCTATCCAACGAGAGCCATAGACATCTTGCCAGACCTATATGTTCCTTGTCCTTTTGAGCAGATGTGGAGCTTAGCAAATAGACTTCCTCAGAGGTTAGCTTTATGAGGAACACAGGCAATGGGTTGCTGTATTTCTTGTTGAGACCGGCAAAATCATTCTGAATTACATTACCTTCCTCCTAAGTTCACACAATTGCTTCCTCTGCAAGTCAGTGTTTGCCCTTGGAGTGAAGGTGACACTTGAGAGGCGTCACTGCCTGCCTGCAGTGGAGAGAGGACCGTGGAAGCATGAACTAGCACTGCTCAGAATCTTGACTGGGCTTGAGTCGACAATTATAGGCATTATGTAAAGCTGGCTGACGTATTTACAACTTTTCTTCTTGAAATATTTTCAGAGTTTTCCTTTATTCGTGCAAAACTGGGGATCAGTTTGCAGGACCGCCACAATCTGGGTAACACTACAGGTGTTTTCTCTTTTAAATATGAGGATAAAATGTGAGTTACTGGAGCAGTGACCACATTTCCACTCCCCACGTTTACGGACAAAGTAATTGAATAAAACCAGACGAGGGGCAGAAGGTAGGAACAACTGGAGGTAGTAGTTCTCAAACGTACTCTTAAATTATTTGAGCTTGTTGAAAACATATGCGGCCAAGATAATACCGTTCCCACCATTTCTACAGTCACATGGATTATACTTCATGAGTTGGACTGAGTGCAAATTTCTTTTCAGTAATTGAATATTTTTCCCATTGTTTTTAGGTGGTTTCAATAATAAAATAGATTTTCCTTCTGAAGATGACACAGAAGTTTAGTGTCAGTGAGGGCTTTCAATACATTAGATATAAAACCATGGTGAGCTCTATTACATCACCTTGTTTTATATTCTTTACAGTATTTCTCACCATCTGCTCCCTACTGGCTTGTTGGTTGATTGTCAGCCTCCCAGACTAGAAAAGAAAGGCCACGAGAGACAGACGCCAGGCTGGCCTTGCTTACCAAGAAGTCCCCACCACCTAGCACAGCAGCTAGTTCATGGTGGGCTTACCACTGTGCTCACTGATTGGATGAACCCATGCCTGTGCTCAGTAGACTCCATGGGTGAGTTGGAACCCACTTCCAGATACGTTAGAAGACAGACCTGGCAGTGTACTGTGAAAGGTCACAGCCTTGTAAACCCCGTGGTGCAGTTCTGTGCTGATACACAGGGGCACGTGAGTCAGGGTCGACCCGGCCAGCAACTAATAGCAACAGTGGTCTACTTCATAGAGCCTCACCCCTTGGCAGGACAAAAGCCGTGGGGTCATGAGTGTATGGCGATGTGTTTCATTGAGACGGTTAAAGAGAAGTTCCTTTCACTTACCCATTTGTGGGAGGGGGAAAAGTGAGTAACATTCTACCAGTTACACTACTTCTCCTTTCAATTTCTCAGGCCTTTGTAGTGCTTGTTACTGTCTGTCGATTTGCACTCAATATAAAAAGTAACAAGGAAACAAGACAATATTTTCAGAAAATGCTCTTAAAAGTCAGAATCTGCTCAATTGCCGTGGGTGTGGTTGTGATAAGGGTGCTGATAATGAGCTTCTCCATTGTGTCTTCCCACGGCGGTTTCAAACTGCCGATCATGAGGATTGCAGCTCAACACACAACCACTAAGCCACCAGAACCCCTCTCGTCTTCCCATGGACGTAGTCAGTTTGGCTGCTGGGTATGCCATCTGGGGAGGTCCATGTGCATAGTTAGCTGCCGTGGTGCTTTGCATGAGTCCTTGATTTTGAAAAATCCTATCATGGAATCTCCAGCTTCACTTTCATCACCGACTCCTTATTTTCCAACTACTGTTCCTTCCTCTTTGTTTCCAACTTTTGCATTCCAATCACCAATAACTGTCAATACATCTTGACTGTATGTTTGATCAATTTCTGACTGACGTCATTGGTAGGATTCTTCAATTAGTTCATCACCAGCTTTTGTGGTGGGTGCATAAGGTTGAGTAATAGTTGGATTGGTTGGATTTGCATTAATGCTGACAGATATAACCCTACAACAGGTAGCACTGTACTTCATGATGGATTTAGGAAGACCCTTTCTGACAACAAATGCCACGTCGTTCATCTTGACTGTGTTATTCCCGGCATAATAAATCATATGATTTTCTGATCCAAAGTGGGCACTACCAGTCGATTTCAGTTCACTAATATCTAGGATCTGGATCTTCATGTGCTCCCTGGAATTTTGACCACTCCCAATTTTCCTAAGTTCATACTTTGCACATTCCAAGTTCTAATCATTAGAAGAATTTTGCAACTGGTTCTCTTTACCTAGTCCCCATGAGCACATGAAGACCCCGAGGCTCCACGCCCACAGGCTTTACTCAACTCACATCACCATGGTCAACTCCCTCCAAGAAATCATCTCTTCAGTCACATTTCCTGTGCCCTTGGACCTGAGGGGCCCATCTGCCAGCAGTATCTCTGACAATGCCTTCCTTCTTTTGTTAAGTCTATCCATATTTGAAAATGCTTCCAAGCTCTGCAGAAGGATTCAGTGGCTTCTCCTCCAAAGTGGGGAGCCAAGTCCTTCCTAGTTGCCTGCTCTTCATCTGGAAGTTCCTCAGAAACCTCTTCATTTTGGGGGACCCCGATGGCATTTGACATACCAGTGACATAGCTTCCAGCATCACAGCAACACACACACCACCACAGCATGAGAAACTGACAGACCAGTGGTGGACTTCCCCAGATGGAACACAAAGAAATCAAATGAAGCATATCTGTTGGAAGACACATGCAGAAACTCAATAATTAGCCAAAAGCAGAACAGAAGCTGACTGTGGAACAGACCATCTATGCTCATGTGCAAGGTCAGGATAGAGCTGAAGAAAATTCAAACAAGTCCACCAGAGCCAAAATACGGCCTTGAGTCTATCCCACCTGCACTTCAAGAACATCTCAAGAATAGACTTGACCCATAAAATACTAGGGATAGAAGACCTGCCGAGCTGTGGAAGGACATCATGACCATCATTTCCTGAAGAAAGCAAAAAGCCCTTTAAAAGACAGGAAAGAAAGTAAAGATCAAAGTGCATGTAAGAGGAGACCCTGAAACGTGCTCTGAGTCGCAGAGTCCCTGAAGCAAATGGAAGGAACGATTAAGTCAAGGAGCTGAATAGAACATCTCAAAGGGCAGCTTGAGGAGACAGAGCCAAATAGCATCATGAAATGTGCGAGGACTTAGAGTTAAGAAATCACAGGGAGGTGGAACACGCTTGGCATATCTGACATGGACGAATGTCAACAGCTCCTTGTGCTACAGTCACTGTGCTATTCTTTCCATCTTTTTTGGCGCTTCCTGCATCGTTCAATACTTTGCCCCTAGGATCTTTCAATATTGCAACTTGAGACTTGAATGTTTTCCCTTTAGTGCTTTCGGTTTAAGATAATGCTGAGCGTGTTCCTCCTTTGGGGGTTTCTCGCTCTAGGCTTCTGCATGATGCGTTATAATATTTTAACCCTGTCTTCTCAAGCTGCCCTCGGAAATGCTCTCCCCTCCTCCCTGGGCTCCCTGTTTCCACT